AGTCTCATCACAGGATTAGATGTCCAGAGAGGCACAAATACATTCTTATAGGCAGTTTCAACAGGGTAGGTTGGAACCAGCAGACCAAGGGTGACACATGGGGTGGCAAAAACCAGTGACAATCAGGGTGAGCAGGGAAGGGAAGGATGGTGGATGAGGGAATAGTTCCGTGTTGGGATGGGCTTTTTCTGTGCACATCTCTGGTCAGGATTGTTCATGTAGAGGTGCATGCACAGTCTTGGGTGCAGGAGCAGGAATGGGAGCGAGTGTGCGTATTTGCACATCAGTGGGGACATGGCAGAAGGAGAAGTGTCTGTGCCTGGATATCCTCTGGAAACGTGTGTGCACACAGCTCTTCATAAATGCAGAGCTATGAGTTACTCTTTGGTGTATGCAAGTTCCAGAGTGTGTTTGTGGTACTGTGAACTTGTGTACGTGCAGTAGGAGTTCTTTAATTACTTCTTCTCCAACTCTGGGTGCTGCTTTATTCCCAGCAAGGCATCCGGGAGTCTCAGGGATGTGATGGAAGTGAGGAGAAGCAGTAGCAGTGCCAGTGAGGGCCAGCAGGCGCGGAGTGTGTGGGCCTTTGGGTGCCATTGGCGCTGTCGGTGCTGCGGGCTCGGGGCAGAGGAAGGAGCTGCGGAGGCGCGGCCCGGGAGCCCGGCGGGCGGAGCGGCAGCGCCCCCTGCTGGCCCCGGCCGGCCCCGCCCGCGGCGGTTCGTGCCCGGCCGCAGCCCCGGCTCCTGTGCCCGTGGCCCCCAGCGCGCAGTAATACACGGCCGCGTCCCCGCGCCGGGGCTCAGCGAGCCACAGCGAGCTCCAACTCCGATCTGCCGACACTAACACATGGCCCGCATTGCCCGGCAGCTCTTTGGAGTCTTTGTGAATGCTTACGAAGAGTTCGGGTCCTCGGCCTGGAAGTTTTTGGTACCAGTAGATCAATTCGTTTCTCTGGATTTTTGGATGTGAGCAGGTGATGTTGATGCCGGTGCCCTCGGTGGTCTCCACTGTTGGCGCCTGATCTACCTGGGCTCTGGCCACAGCCACTGCCATGGAGAAACCAACAATCACTTTCCATCGGCAGCAAATGCCTTGCACGGGAAGAGGGAAGAGGGTAGAGGAGGACAGATCACAGGCAGCTGCAATATGCTGACAAAAAAGCATGGAGAGACTGTTTCTCAGAAACGAATTACTTGGAATTAAGAATGTGGTATATTTGGGGGAAATAAGACTGTGGGAGAAGTGTCAGACTGCAGAAGGGGAGACTGGAATGAGGAAAAGAGATTGGCTGAAATGCATGGATTAGTAGATGATTGAAGTAATCAATGAATTACTAAAGAAAGTGAATAGTGGAGCAGGGGAAGCTGAGAGAAAATAGATTCATTGAGGAGAGGAGGGTTGGAGGCAGTGAGAGAAGAAGCACGTAGCAGCAAGTGTGCCAGAGACAAATGCCGAGCCCAATGCTCATTCCAGGCATCCCCAGCCCCGGCCTCCGCCACCTCCACCGCCACCTCCACGCACCGATGAGCAGCGCGGCCAGAGCGGCCAGCGCCGCGGCCCGAGCCCGCCGCATGCCGCCGCTCCGCCGGCCGAGCCTCGCTGTGGCCCTGAGCCCCGGCTCTGCTGCGGCCGTGCCGCCTCCTCTGGGCCGCCGCCAGCTCCGCCCCGGGGCTGAGCCCTGCGCCGCTGCCGCTCGGGCTCTCGCCGAGTCCTGGCAGGGAACGGAGGCGAGGCGAGCGCGGGGCCTGCGGGGCGGCGCTCGGCTCTCTGCACGTCGCAAGCGGCGGGGCCGGCCTGGGGGGCAGCGATCGGGCTGGGATCGTGGACATCACCATTGACAGTGCCTGGCTTTCCTTCGCTCCCATAATCTGTTCCCTCACATTGTCCCTTTGCTGTCATGTGGGGACTCCCGAATTGTCCTTCAGGGCACTGGAAGGTAATCCACATTCCCAGATTCAAGACCTGGGCATAAAGCCCCAGCCTTTCTCTCTGTCCATGAAACCAACGTGATGCATCTCAGGGGAGAGCAGCTGTGCACTGGCCTGGAGAGATCCGTCTGTGTGTCCGCTGTCCGCATGTCTCTGTGTCTTTGTTTTGAGCACCTGGAAAAGGAGGGCCCAGGAAGCAGAAACTGCATTTCAACCCCTCTTCCCTGGACAAATGTCCTGCAGGATCTCCTGCGGGCTCCTTCTGAATCTGGGCAAATGCTGCTCTGTGGTGCACAGGGCAGAGCAGTGGAGAGCATCTCCAGTGTGATCAAGGCATTTCACTGGTGAAGTAACACACACACACACACACTCAGACACAGACACACACACAGACACACACGCAGAAGCTTCTTCCCATCAGGGGCATTCATGCCCGAATTTGTGCTCAAACATGGATTCCTGTACACCCTACTTGAACACAAGCACACACAAACCTGGAGCACAGGCAAGGACACAATCAGCCATGGACCCTTCACAGGAAACCTGGGAGCAACTGCAGCAGGGCTGGAGCCTTGTGGGGAAGGACAAAGAGTCAGGCAAGGCAATGGCATGGTTTCTGTTCTGACAGGCAGAATAGAGTATAAGATGTCCAGAGAGGCACAAATACTTTCCTGAAATCAATTTCATCAGGGCAGGGTCGGAACCAGAAGCCCAATGCTGACACATGTGGAGGCAAGAAACAGTGAGAATCATAGTGCGCTGAAAAGGGAAGAAGGGAAGGTGTATATGTAAGTGTGTGGGAATAGATCCGTTTTGGGATGTGCTTTTTGTGTGCACATCTCTGGACAGGATTGTTCATGTAGATGTGTGTGCGCAGACTTGGGTGCGGAAGCAGGAATGGGAGCGAGTGTGCGTGTTTGCACGTCAGTGGGGACACGGCAGAAAGAGTAATGTCTGTGCCTGGGTATCCTTTGGAAATGTGTGTGCACACAGCTCTTCATAAATGCAGGGCTATGAGTTACTCTTTGGTGTATGCAAGTTCCGGAGTGTGTTTGTGATACTGTGAACTTGTGTACGTGCAGTAGGAGATCTTTTAATGCTGCTTCTCCAACTGTGGGTGCTGCTTTATTCCCAGAATGGCATCTGGGAGTCTCAGGGATGTGATGGAAGTGAGGAGAAGCAATAGCAGTGCAAGTGAGGGCCAGCAGGCCCGGAGTGTGTGGGTCTTTGGGTGCCATTGGCGCTGTCGGTGCTGCGGGCTCGGGGCAGAGGAAGGAGCTGCGGAGGCGCGGCCCGGGAGCCCGGCGGGCGGAGCGGCAGCGCCCCCTGCTGGCCCCGGCCGGCCCCGCCCGCGGCGGTTCGTGCCCGGCCGCAGCCCCGGCTCCTGTGCCCGTGGCCCCCAGCGCGCAGTAATACACGGCCGCGTCCCCGCGCCGGGGCTCAGCGAGCCACAGAGCGCTCGAACTCCGATCTGCCGACACCGACAGACGCCCTTTAGGGACTCGCATCTGCTTGGTCGATTTAGGAGTGACGGCCAGGAGTTCGGGTCTTTGGCCCGGCAGCTGACGGTAAAAATGGATGAAATCACCAGTCCGGATATTGGGGTGTGAGCACTTGATGGTGATACTGGTGCCCTCGCTGGTCTCCAGGAACGGCTCCTGCTGTACCTGGGCTCTGACCGCAGCCACTGCCAGGGAAAGAAAAAGAACAAACTTCAATTCCTACTTTCTATACACAGATCTGCCTGCCAATCCCCAGAACAAAGCCTGCACAAGCTGTCCCAGTTCCTGTGGGAACTGTTTTCCTCCTCATCTCACTCATCACAGAGAGATGAGGAGGAAAACAGTTCCCAGAGGATGCCATGGAGATATACAGGAATGGAAGTGTCCATGAATGGTTTGAGGAGAGATAAATGAGTGAATGACAGAAGAATCGGTGCAGTCGCTGAAGAATGGGAGGATGTGGGAGAAAGCACAAAAAGACAAGAAGGAAATTAGCAAGGGGTATGGAGAGACTTTGTGAGGAATAAAGAAAGAAAACTTGTGCAGGGTTGGGTAGAGAAAATACCCGGAGATTTCTGCGGGACTATGGGATGGAGAAGAGGGAGGGATGAAGAGGAGAACAGCTCTCGAGAAAAGGTCTGTGCAGAAGGCAGGCAGGGCGGCAGCCTCCGGGCACCTGCGGGATCACCCCAGCCCCACGCACCGATGAGCAGCGCGGCCAGCGCCGCGGCCCGAGCCCGCCGCATGCCGCCGCTCCGCCGGCCGAGCCTCGCTGTGTCCCTGAGCCCCGGCTCTGCTGCGGCCGTGCCGCCTCCTCAAGGCCGCCGCCAGCTCCGCCCCGGCCGGCCTCAGCCCCCGCCTCTCACGGCACCTGCACCACCAGCGACACAAGGACCTTTGGCATGGCCAGGGACAAGGGACAGCTGCGTCCCATCGCACACAGCAGCCACACCGCCTGGGCAGCCGATCCACCCTGCACACACCTGCCGCGGGCGGCTGCCGGCCCCGCTCAGCTGCTCTCAGGCTGTTTGTGAGCCTGGGCAGCCGCTGCTCTGTGCTGTTCGGGGCCAGAGCGGTGCTCGGTGTCCCTGGCATGGTCAGGAAATTCCCTCCCGATCGGGGACACTCACGGACAGAGCCAGGGCCGTCCTACCCAGTGTGGAGCCACAGACAAATCCGTGCTTCACGTGTGTCCCTGCAAACGGGGCTGCTCCAAAAGCACCCAAGGCAGGGACACACAAGCAGCCCCGGGCTCTGCTGAGGACATGCCGGGTCAAAGGCAGCAGGGCTGGGGTGTGGAAGGACAAGGTCTCAGGCAAGCACAGGGGGTATTTTTCTTTTTTACTTAGAGACTGCAAAATGCAGAGATAAGTCAATATACTCCAAAATATTTTCCTAAGTGAAGTGCTAGGATGGATAGGGTAAAAACCACCAGACCATTGTACCCACATGTGGATGCAAATTCTGCTGAGTATCAGGGTGAGATCAGAGTCCCTTTGCCAAGCTCAGCCTTGCACTGACACATGCCCTCCCTGGCCTGGGTTGTTGCACAGCTGAGGAAGCTCCCTGCACCAGGGTGTCTTGCACAGCACAGAGGTACAAGGCAGTGTCAGAGAGCTCCACTTCCTCCAGCTGCAGGACACTGGATTTGCTTGTGGTGTTGAGGTTCGTGGTGAAACGGCCACTGGGCTTGTGGCCAGTCCCTGCTTGATAGGAGATCAGCTCTGGGGCTCTGCCTTTCCTCAGCTGGTACCACAGCAAGGCATTAAAATCACTGGTGTGGTATTTGCAGGTGGTGTGGAAGGGGTGTCCCTGCTTCACCAAGACTGGTCCATCTTCCTGGGTGACCGTGTCCTGCCCCGTGGTGCCTGGAAGAAAGTGATGCTGAGCAGTTCCACAGGGAAACACAATGGGAAGCAAATCGAAGTGCATGGAAAACGCTGGTGGAGAAAGGTCCCTGCCTTGTAGCAGAGTCCGGAGAGATTTTGGGCAGGAGTTCGGAGCTCTCTGCTCTGCATTGCCAAAAGGAGAGCTGGGCTGTGTCCCTGCTCCTGCTCCCTCTGCTTAAAGGACCAGGGAACAGCCTGCCATGCCTGAACTTAGCGTGCTGGAACCAGCAGCCTTCCAGCTCCTTGAGGTGCCCAGCCAGGTCCAGCAGAAAGGTTCATCTGCTTCCCCATTCCTGTCACCTCTGAAAGCTCCTGAGCACACACAAAGCTGAGTTTGGAAAGAGGGAGCCCTGCTTGTGTCCATGCCAGTGAACACGGGAAGCTGTGGCAGAGCTGTGTCAGCCTGGAGGCAGAATGGAACACCCTGATAATGGAATGGTATGAAAAACTGTGAGGTGCCGGGGGCAGGTTGGACAGAATGTGGGAATTTACACTAAAACAGGAGCAATATGGCACTGCAGACACAGCTGAGATCTCCTGAGGTGACAGCACGTGGATGAGGAGAGAGAGGCAGAGGCAGATGGATTTAAGGTGAGAGAAAAGACACAGAAGGACCCGAGGTTTCTCTCTCTTCCCTTTCCCTTTCCAAATCAAATAGCTTCCTCAGGAAACACTTGCAAAACCACCAACAAAAGCAGTTTTTTTCTTATCCTTTTCTCTTCATTCACTGGCATTTCCCCCGTGGTCCTGATTAGGCTTTTGAGGATATCCTGGGCGGAAGAAGAAGAAGAAGAAGAGGGGAGCCTTGGGGAAAAGGCAGGACTTACCCAGGAGCTGGCCCAGGAGGACGGTGAGGATGAGATAAGCGAGGTGCATGCCGAGACCGAGGTGCTGAGTGAGCAAGTGTTTGCTGAGTGAGGCAGAGGCAGAAAGGACGTCCCAGCGCCGAGAGAACGGAGCTGCCGCAAACGACTCTGGGCGGGAGCAAAGGGAGCAGCGGCGGAGCAGGCAGAGCAATGACCTGTCCTTGCAGTGCCTGAAATGCTCCTTGTGCGTTTCTGGCTCCTCCAGCAGCAGCCCCCGAGGCTCCCTCAGCCCCTGGCATTGTGAGCATTCCCATGGCAAGGGGCTGTTCCCGCAGTGGGCTCCTCACCTCCGCAGCTGCAATGCCCAGCTCTGCTGCACACCCAGGCCTGGGCATTCAGGGGCTTCTTCCCCGCTGAGGTTTCTCACCCTCCCGAGGTGTCCTCAGCTCTCTGGGGTCATTGCTAATCTCCAAATCCTGATGGCTTTTGAAGAACTTCATGGCTGGAGGCGGCACAGCCTCACAAGCATTCCTTGGAGGGTGCTCTCAAACCTCCATTATCCTCATGATCCTCTTGTCCCTTCTTGTCACTGACAAAGCTCAGCCTGAGCCAACTCACAGCAGTTTCCTAATGGCCCATCAATTAGATGCTGGAGAGCTCTGAGCTCTCTCTTTCTCCCCTTATCACCTACTGCTACATTGGTGTCATTGTGTGCTTTGTTCCTCACTTTCCCTCTTCCTCGTTCTTCCCTTGGAAAGGAAAATGGATGTGATGTGAGCCTTAGAGAACAAGACAGTCTCGCCTTTCACATGCCCTGACTGTGGCCGCAGCTGAACTTGCTCAGCCCAAAGAGTTCCTGAAGCTGCTGAAAGGCTCCTGTCCCCAAAGGAAATGGGGTCCCTAGAGCAGGTCTCTGGAGAGAAATATCATGTGGAGATCAGTCTTTCAAGTGTCTCCCTCCAACACTTGCAGCACTGCTAAATCCTGGCAGTTGTTCTTCTGGATGCTGGACAGGTTACTAAAGGGAAGGGAAAGGGGCAAACCGAAGTCAGGGGGAGGGTGGGTATAAGCAAGCCCTTCAATGATCTGAAATGCTCCTCTACTCCAACCAATTGATTGGTCTCCCTAGCAGATGTTCTACTGTTTCAGGAAGATGCTGAATGCACATTCCTGGATATTTGCGGACATCTGAGGACGAGAACAAAATGTAGAGAGGTGAATTTCATCCTCAGGTGGCATTACAAGTACACCTGCCTTACACAGCCAGGAGAGAATGCACCTTGCAGTACGGAACAGAGACATTTCTGCAGAGACAGAGATTTCTTTGTCACCTCAATGCAAACCCCTCTCATGCACTGACCTACTGACCTGACAGCACTCCAGGAATTGGCCCCTGTGTGCCTGTGAGCGCAGCTGCTTTGTCAGCTCCCAGCCCAGGTGCTCTCAAGGAGCGGCCGGGGGAGAGGCCGGGCTGTGTGTGGGGACTGTGTGAGTGCAGGTTGGGGCGGTTGTGAGGCGTGTTGGGGGCCGTGCGGGGCCGTGCGGGGCCGGTGCTGCGGGCTCGGGGCAGAGGAAGGAGCTGCGGAGGCGCGGCCCGGGAGCCCGGCGGGCGGAGCGGCAGCGCCCCCTGCTGGCCCCGGCCGGCCCCGCCCGCGGCGGTTCGTGCCCGGCCGCAGCCCCGGCTCCTGTGCCCGTGGCCCCCAGCGCGCAGTAATACACGGCCGCGTCCCCGCGCCGGGGCTCAGCGAGCCACAGCGAGCTGGAACTCCGATCTGCCGACACCAACAGCCATCCTGCATTGCCCGGCAGCTATTTGGACTCTTTCATAGTGAGTGCGAGGAGTTCAGGTCCTTGGCCCGGGAGCTGTCGGTACCACTGGATCCAATCACCGCTCTGGATTTGGGGATGTGAGCAGGTGATGTTGATGCCGGTGCCCTCGCTGGTCTCCATGAATGGCTCCTGCTGTACCTGGGCTCTGACCACAGCCACTGCCACGGAGAAACCAACAATCACTTTTCTTTTGCAGAAAATGATATTCAGGAACATAGAGAGATGAGGAGGAAAACAGTTCCCAGAGGGCGTTAAGATATGCAGGAATGGAAGTGTCCATGAATGGTTTGTGGAGAGATGAATGAGTGAATGACAGAAGAATCGGTGCAGTCGCTGAAGAATGGGAGGATGTGGGAGAAAGCACAAAAAGACAAGAAGGAAATTAGCAAGGGGTACGGAGAGACTTTGTGAGAAATAAAGAAAGAAAACTTGTGCAGGGTTGGGTAGAGAAAATACCCGGAGATTTCTGCGGGACTATGGGATGGAGAAGAGGGAGGGATGAAGAGGAGAACAGCTCTCGAGCAAAGGTCTGTGCAGAAGGCAGGCAGGGCGGCAGCCTCCGGGCACCTGCGGGATCACCCCAGCCCCACGCACCGATGAGCAGCGCGGCCAGCGCCGCGGCCCGAGCCCGCCGCATGCCGCCGCTCCGCCGGCCGAGCCTCGCTGTGCCCCTGAGCCCCGGCTCTGCTCTGACTGTGCCGCCTCCTCGGGGCCGCCGCCAGCTCCGCCCCGGCCGGCCTCAGCCCCCGCCTCTCACGGCACCTGCACCACCAGCGACACAAGGACCTTTGGCATGGCCAGGGACAAGGGACAGCTGCGTCCCATCGCACACAGCAGCCACACCGCCTGGGCAGCCGATCCACCCTGCACACACCTGCCGCGGGCGGCTGCCGGCCCCGCTCAGCTGCTCTCAGGCTGTTTGTGAGCCTGGGCAGCCGCTGCTCTGTGCTGTTCGGGGCCAGAGCGGTGCTCGGTGTCCCTGGCATGGTCAGGAAATTCCCTCCCGATCGGGGACACTCACGGACAGAGCCAGGGCCGTCCTACCCAGTGTGGAGCCACAGACAAATCCGTGCTTCACGTGTGTCCATGCAAACGGGGCTGCTCCAAGAGCACCCAAGGCAGGGACACACAAGCAGCCCGGGGCTCTGCTGAGGACATGCGGGGTCAAAGGCAGCAGGGCTGGGGTGTGGAAGGACAAGGTCTCAGGCAAGCACAGGGGATAGTTTTCTTTTTTACTTAGAGACTGCAAAATGCAGAGATAAGTCAATATACTCCAAAATATTTTCCTAAGTGAAGTGCTAGGATGGATGGGGTAAAAACCACCAGACCATTGTATCCACATGTGGATGCAAATTCTGCTGAGTATCAGGGTGAGATCAGAGTCCCTTTGCCAAGCTGAGCCTTGCACTGACACATGCCCTCCCTGGCCTGGGTTGTTGCACAGCTGAGGAAGCTCCCTGCACCAGGGTGTCTTGCACAGCACAGAGGTACAAGGCAGTGTCAGAGAGCTCCACTTCCTCCAGCTGCAGGACACTGGATTTGCTTGTGGTGTTCAGGACCGTGGTGAAACGGCCACTGGGCTTGCGGCCAGTCCCTGCTTGATAGGAGATCAGCTCTGGGGCTCTGCCTTTCCTCAGCTGGTACCACAGCAAGGCATTAAAATAACTGGTGTGGTATTTGCAGGTGGTGTGGAAGGGGTGTCCCTGCTTCACCAAGACTGGTCCATCTTCCTGGGTGACCGTGTCCTGCCCCGTGGTGCCTGGAAGAAAGTGATGCTGAGCAGTTCCACAGGGAAACACAATGCGAAGTGCATGGAAAACGCAGGTGGATAAAGGTCCCTGCCTTGTAGCAGAGTCCTGAGAGATTTTGGGCAGGAGTTCGGAGCCCTCTGCTCTGCATCGCCAAAAGAAGAACTGGGCTGTGTCCCTGCTCCTGCTCCCTCTGCTTAAAGGACCAGGGAACAGCCTGCCATGCCTGAACTTTGTGTGCTGGAACCAGCAGCCTTCCAGCTCCCTGAGGTGCCCAGCCAGGTCCAGCAGAAAGGTTCATCTGCTTCCCCATTCCTGTCACCTCTGAAAGCTCCTGAGCACACACAAAGCTGAGCTTGGAAAGAGGGAGCCCTGCTTGTGTCCATGCCAGTGAACACGGGAAGCTGTGGCAGAGCTGTGTCAGCCTGGAGGCAGAATGGAACACCCTGATAATGGAATGGTATGAAAAACTGTGAGGTGCCGGGGGCAGGTTGGACAGAATGTGGGAATTTACACTAAAACAGGAGCAATATGGCACTGCAGACACAGCTGAGATGTCCTGAGGTGACAGCACGTGGATGAGGAGAGAGAGGCAGAGGCAGATGGATTTAAGGTGAGAGAAAAGACACAGAAGGACCCGAGGTTTCTCTCTCTTCCCTTTCCCTTTCCAAATCGAATAGCTTCTTCAGGAAACACTTGCAAAACCACAAACAAAAGCAGTTTTTTCCTATCCTTTTCTCTTCATTCACTGGCATTTCCCCCGTGGTCCTGATTAGGCTTTGGAGGATATCCTGGGCGGAAAAAAAGAAGAAGAAGAAGAGGGGAGCCTTGGGGAAAAGGCAGGACTTACCCAGGAGCTGGCCCAGGAGGACGGTGAGGATGAGATAAGCGAGGCGCATGCCGAGACCGAGGTGCTGAGTGAGCAAGTGTTTGCTGAGTGAGGCAGAGGCAGAAAGGACGTCCCAGCGCCGAGAGAACGGAGCTGCCGCAAACGACTCTGGGCGGGAGCAAAGGGAGCAGCGGCGGAGCAGGCAGAGCAATGACCTGTCCTTGCAGTGCCTGAAATGCTCCTTGTGCGTTTCTGGCTCCTCCAGCAGCAGCCCCCGAGGCTCCCTCAGCCCCTGGCATTGTGAGCATTCCCATGGCAAGGGGCTGTTCCCGCAGTGGGCTCCTCACCTCCGCAGCTGCAATGCCCAGCTCTGCTGCACACCCAGGCCTGGGCATTCAGGGGCTTCTTCCCCGCTGAGGTTTCTCACCCTCCCGAGGTGTCCTCAGCTCTCTGGGGTCATTGCTAATCTCCAAATCCTGATGGCTTTTGAAGAACCTCATGGCTGGAGGCGGCACAGCCTCACAAGCGTTCCTTGGTGGGTGCTCCCTAGCCCCACAAGACCCCCTCAAACCTCCATTATCCTCATGTTCCTCTTGTCCCTTCTTGTCACTGACAAAGCTCAGCCTGAGCCAATTCACAGCAGTTTCCTAATGGCCCATCAATTAGAAGCTGGAGAGCTCTGAGCTCTCTCTTTCTCCCCTTATCACCTACTGCTACATTGGTGTCATTGTGTGCTTTGTTCCTCACTTTCCCTTTTCCTTGTTCTTCCCTTGGAAAGGAAAATGGATGTGATGTGAGCCTTAGAGATCCAGACAGTCTCGCCTTTCACATGCCCTGACTGTGGCCTCAGCTGAACTTGCTCAGCCCAAAGAGTTCCTGAAGCTGCTGAAAGGCTCCTGTCCCCAAAGGAAATGGGGTCTCTAGAGCAAGTCTCTGGAGGGCAACATCATGTGGAGATCAGTCTTTGAAGTGTCTCCCTCCAACACTTGCAGCACTGCTAAATCCTGGCAGTTGTTCTTCTGGATGCTGGACGGGTTACTAAAGTGAAGGGAAAGGGGCAAAACGAATTCAGGGGGAGGGTGGGTATAAGCAAGCTCTTCAATGATATGAAATGCTCCTCTACTCCAACCAATTGATTGGTCTCCCTAGCAGATGTTCTACTGTTTCAGGAAGATTCTGAATGCACATTCATGGATGTTTGCGAACATCTGAGGATGAGAACAAAATGTAGAGAGGTGAATTTCATCCTCAGGTGGCATTAAAAGTACACCTGCCTTACACAGCCAGGAGAGAATGCACCTTTCAGTATGGACCAGAGACATTTCTGCAGAGACAGAGATTTCTTTGTCACCTCAATGCAAACGCCTCTCATGCATTGACCTACTGACCTGACAGCACTCCAGGAATTGGCCCCTGTGTTCCTGTGAGCGCAGCTGCTTTGTCAGCTCCCAGCCCAGGTGCTCTCAAGGAGCGGCCCGTGGAGAGGCCGGGCTGTGTGTGGGGACTGTGTGAGTGCAGGTTGGGGCGGTTGTGAGGCGTGTTGGGGGCCGTGCGGGGCCGTGCGGGGCCGGTGCTGCGGGCTCGGGGCAGAGGAAGGAGCTGCGGAGGCGCGGCCCGGGAGCCCGGCGGGCGGAGCGGCAGCGCCCCCTGCTGGCCCCGGCCGGCCCCGCCCGCGGCGGTTCGTGCCCGGCCGCAGCCCCGGCTCCTGTGCCCGTGGCCCCCAGCGCGCAGTAATACACGGCCGCGTCCCCGCGCCGGGGCTCAGCGAGCCACAGCGAGCTCCAACTCCGATCTGCCGACACCAACAGCCATCCTGCACTGCCCGGCAGCTCTTTGGACTCTTTCATAGTGAGTGCCAGGAGTTCAGGTCCTTGGCCCGGGAGCTGTCGGTACCACTGGATCCAATCGCTGGTCTGGATTTGGGGATGTGAGCAGGTGATGTTGATGCCGGTGCCCTCGCTGGTCTCCATGAATGGCTCCTGCTGTACCTGGGCTCTGACCACAGCCACTGCCACGGAGAAACCAACAATCACTTTTCTTTTGCAGAAAATGATATTCAGGAACATAGAGAGATGAGGAGGAAAACAGTTCCCAGAGGGCGTTAAGATATGCAGGAATGGAAGTGTCCATGAATGGTTTGTGGAGAGATGAATGAGTGAATGACAGAAGAATCGGTGCAGTCGCTGAAGAATGGGAGGATGTGGGAGAAAGCACAAAAAGACAAGAAGGAAATTAGCAAGGGGTACGGACAGACTTTGTGAGTAATAAAGAAAGAAAACTTGTGCAGGGTTGGGTAGAGAAAATACCCGGAGATTTCTGCGGGACTATGGGATGGAGAAGAGGGAGGGATGAAGAGGAGAACAGCTCTCGAGCAAAGGTCTGTGCAGAAGGCAGGCAGGGCGGCAGCCTCCGGGCACCTGCGGGATCACCCCAGCCCCACGCACCGATGAGCAGCGCGGCCAGCGCCGCGGCCCGAGCCCGCCGCATGCCGCCGCTCCGCCGGCCGAGCCTCGCTGTGCCCCTGAGCCCCGGCTCTGCTCTGACTGTGCCGCCTCCTCTTCTCTTCTCTCCTCTCTCTCCATCGCCACCAGCTCCGCCCCGGATTGAGCCCTGCCCTGGCTCCGCTCGGGCTGTCTCAGAGCACTCGCGCTGTGCACCGACACAGCTTGGTGTCCTGGCAAATGGACTCTCCCCCTCCTCCATCAAGGACATCTCAGCGAGAATCAGCCGGCACAGCCCCAGCTGCAGCCTGAGGCAGCAACAAGGCCCTGAACCAGGAGATGGAGCAGTTTCCCCGAGCTGTCTCTGTGCTCAGGGTCTGGAAACAGCAGCCAGGGATTTTTTGCAGATGGCAGTGAGGAGGCTGAAAGCCCCATGTTCCAGCAGGTGTTTGTAGTTCAGTCTCCTGTTGCAGAGAACTCCCAGAGTCTAGTCTCTATTCCTTGTTTCCTTTCCACAGGTGGTTCCAGGATTTTCTGGGAACAACTTGGGCAACAGAGGCCAGTTCACTGCCTTTTCTTGGTTGTTCGATGTCACCTCCAAACTTGTGGAGAGTGTCCTCCTTCCCACTATTCACAACATTCATGGCAACATGCAACACTAGTGGTCCTACTGCTGATCCTTGAGGGACCCCAGAGTTGTCTGCCAGCTGGGGTTTGAAACAATGGCCATAACACTTGGGGCCTGGTAGGCCAGATAATTTTCCACTCACCTTATCCCTCTCTTACTGATCCCTTTTTTCACCAATATGGTCACAGAGGAAGGGCAGCAGAGGAGGCCACTGCAGCTGTGTCCCCCCCAGTGCTGCATAAAGGAGAGCAGTCACCTCTCGAGCTCCTGGCCACACCTGGTGCAGTGGAGCTGGGGATACAGTTGGACTTCTTTGGCACAAGGGAATATGCACTTTCCCTTTTCAATTGCATGAGTTTCCCATTCCCAGCACATTTCTCCTGCTTGCTGAGGTCCCTCTGGATGCTGGCCTGACTCTCTTCCCAGTTTGGTGTTGTCTGCAAACCTGCTGAGGGTCCACTCTGTCCCATCAACCACATCACCAGTGAAGTTGATAAACAGGAGCCATCAAGTCCTGACCATTTGGATGCACTGGTCTCAACTTTATTTTGTGGTGCTGATCACTGATCCCTGTGCCTGGCCAGTCACTTTTCATTCTGTCTCACTGTCTGCTCATCCAACATCAACAGCTTCTCTCTGAGGCTCCTACAGGAATCCACACAAAATGTCAAAGGCTTTGCTCACCTCCAGGTAGAGAAGATCCACCATTCTTTCTCCCTCACCATTCTGTCACATCTCCACAGCACTTTGTCAAGAAGATCAGGCATAACTTCCCCTTAGTAAAGCCACACTGCCCCGCTCCTGGTGACTTTCCCATCCCTGCATGCCTTGATTAGGAGAGCTTTCCAGGACTAGCTGCTCTATCACCTTCTAAGGGGCTAAGGTGAGGCTGAGAACGCTGTAGCTCCCTGGTTCTCCTTTTCCCCTTTTTGAAGACAGAAGTGGCATTTGTTTTGCTCCAGTATCCAGTCACCAGGCTCAGCTGAAGGTAACCAAGAATGACCTGGCAATGACAGGAGCCAGTTCCCTTGCTACTTGTGTCTACATTCCAATAGGACTTAAATATGTGCAGTTTGCTAGGATTCACTGCCCTGATCTCCATCCTGACTTTACCCCCAGTCTACATCTGGTATTCCTTAAGGCCAGTCTTGCTAATAAGGACTGAGGCAAAGGAGGCCTTCAGCACCTCAGCTTTTTCTCTACCCTGTGTCACCAGGGCCTTTGTCTCATTCAGCAGCAACTTTCCTTACTCTTCCTTTTGTCACCTTTGTCCTAATGGAAGCCCCTTTATCATGCCATTTGCCTTTCCTTCTTACAGCTGAATAAAACCTTCCACCTTTTCTCCCCCTTTCTGTATCCCTGCTGTACGACAGGAGAAGGCAAAGCCAGCCACCTGAATTGTCCTGGGCTCTGTGTTTGGTGGGATACAGTCAAACCCAGGAACAAGGCCACTTCTTTGAGACAAAGGCCCCTAAGATCCCAATGGAGTGACCCAGACTGACATAATTTACTTTTAATGGACTCCTGTAGTGTGTGAGTCCTGTGCTGACGCTGATGTGTTTTGATGCAGAAATGCTTGGGCCTCTCATCTTGTCATGCAAAAGATGCCTTCATTGAGGAATGTGCCAGAAATAAAGCAGGAAGTGAAAACACAGCAATTTAAAAAGCCAAACCACAGCTCACAGCATTAAATGAGATGGTTTGCATTCAAGATGAATTTGTCAGAAAATGATCACCTCCAGAAGGGATACCTCTGGCAGCCTGAGTCAGTAAAGGTCCATGGTGAAAGCCAGCCCAGCTCTTTTCTCTCTCATCCCCTTCTCTTGCCTCCTTCTCCCTGGGAATCAGGTCAGTCTGAAACCCTTTCTCCTTCTCTGCTTTCTCTAAAAGGAGATCTCACCTCAATGGACCACCCACCTGATTCCAGCAGTCTTCTATGATAGCTCTGTTCCATCACTCCCTCTCCTCAGCTGGACAGAGGAGAGAAAATACAAGCGACTTCTGGGTCTAGATAAGGACAGGAAAGGTCACTCATCAATTACCCTCATGGGAAACCCCAACTCAGATCAGAGAAATTAATTTGATATATTGCAATCCAGTCAGCTTAGGGTAATGAGAAATAAACCTAAAATCTAAAACCACCTTCCCCTCCACTGCTCCCTTCTTCTTCAGCTCAAATTCACTGCAATTTTCTCCTCTCCAAATGGTAAGGATTTGGAGTTGTGGTCAGTTCAACACATCTCTGTGGCTCTTTTGTGCTTAGGAGAAGGAACATTCACACACTTGCCCTATGCCATTGTGGGGAGACAGTACTCCCAAAACTTCTCCAATGTGAGTTTTTCACATGGGCTACAGTTCTTCGCAAGTCCTGCTTGCAAACCTGTGCTAGCATGGGCCTGTCACTCACGTGGGCGCAGGTCCTGACAGGAGCCTGATCCAGAATGAGGTTTTATGGGGTCACCTGGAGCACCTACCTCCCCTCTTCCCTGAGGGTTGTTTCTCTCACATTGTCTCTCCCCTCTCTTCTGGCTGCTCTTCCACAGTAGGTGTTTTCTCCCTTCCCAAACGTTATCCCAGAGCTGCTTCCACCATCACTGATGAGCTCAGCCTTGGCCAGGAGTGGATGAGTCTTAAATCCATCTGGTGTTGGCTCCCCCACAACCAAAACCTTGCCATGCAGCCCAAATCCAGAGGGTGCAAGGCAAACAGAGCCAGACACTTCTCTGAATTGCCCAGTGAGGGGACCACAGAAAACAAGCACAGGCTGGAACACTGGTGTGAAACATAGCGAAGCCCTTCTTATTGTTGAGGGTGACCAAGCACTCTCTCACATTGCCCAGATGACTTGAGGATTCTCCCTCCTTGGGAGGACAAAATGAGAGCTTTAGGAGCAAGAGAATGAAATCCAACAGTGCAGCCCAAATGCCTGAGATTCTGAACACAAATGAACAGTGCAGCAAGTTGGAAGGAATGCTGGAAAGAGACATGGCATATCATTTTGCAATGGTATCATGGCATATCTTTGGGTGACCAGTCAAGGTCTGAAGTCCTGGGAGCAGCTGCACCCCTTGCAATCAACAAGGCCACAGGCAACACCAGCAGTGAGCTCCAGGCCAACTTCATTTCCCTGCATGCACCCATCCAGCACTCGAGCAGAGGATTCTGCAGACACTGACACATTCCTGCCCTGGAAATCCTGAGGCGTCTCAATCTCAGCACTCAGGAGAAGCCTCCATGAAGAAATGTCTATGAATAAGCCAGGAAATGAAAAGGTGGCAACACGGAAAACAAGCACCCAACCCATGTCATTAGCTGGGATATTTTCCATACATCATGAGTACCTTAAGAAATTATCACTTTCATAGAAGCCACCTCTGGGCCTGGGGCAACTCAGAGTGACTATAAAAGCCAGCCAGAATTCATGCTCTCTCATCCACTTCTCCTGCCTCCTTCTCCTTGGAATCCAGGTAAGTCCAAAGCCCTTTCCCCTGTCCTTTTCTGGTGAAGCAGATGCATGCTCCTATAGCCTATGAGAGGTTTTAGTGCTGCTGCTGCTGCTGCTGAGGGGTCAGAGAAGAACTAAGGTCTGACTTAGTGTCAAGGATTTGGCTGAGGGAGCTCTTTATTGAAGAGATATTGCAACACTTTGCAGTACTGTGTCAGGATGAGGCTGAAAACCCCTTTCTCTCACTGCCCAGTTTCTCCCTTCTGGCTTAAGCAGGTACCATTGCAATTCTTGCAGTGGGATGATGGATTCATGGCTGATGGCTCCTCACATGTGCCTGTGCTCTGCTTCCTTCCCTTCCCTCTCTCTCAGGTGCATCTGCAGCCCCAGCCATGTCCTGCTACACCCGGTGCCAGCCCTGCGGCCCCACCCCGCTGGGCAGCAGCTGCAATGAGCCCTGTGTCAGGCAGTGCCAGGACTCCACCGTCTTCATCCAGCCCTCGCCCGTGGTGGTGACCCTGCCTGGGCCCATCCTCAGCTCCTTCCCACAGAACACTGTGGTGGGATCCTCCACTTCTGCTGCTGTTGGCAACATCCTCAGCTCTGAAGGAGTGCCCATCAACTCTGGGGGCTTTGACATCTCCTGCATCACCAACCGCTACGGTGGCAGCAGGTGCCGTCCATGCTAAAGCCACTGGTGCAGCCCTCATGAGGACCCCCAGAAACCCAGAAGCTGATGCTGGACTGAGGACAGAGCTCCTGGCCATCAAATTCAGAGGTGCTGAGCCACCAATGCTGCTCTTCTGAAGGAGGGCTGGTGGGGCTCTCTGAAACCATGGCCAGTGTTTGCTTTCCCTGCCTTTCTCTTCCACCTCTCTCTTGTCTTCCATACTTCTGGACTGTAAGAGTTTCAGAGCCTCTCTGAGGGATCTGCTAACCCCTGCCTGCTGTAGGGCAGGCAGATGGATTTCCCTTTGGCTCTCCAGTGTCTGTGCCAAAGCTGGCCCAGACTTGCTGCAGTTGCATGTGGTCTCTCACCACCACCACCAGTAGCCTCCTCTATAAGGGAACTAATTTCCCACTTCAATGACAATAAAGCTTTGTGCATCTCATCCTCAGCCTCCATGTAATCCTTTTTTGGTGTCCTGTCTCAAGGTGCTGAGACCAAAAGGTGTTGCCATGGGTGGTGGAGGAAAAGGTGGGGACACCAGTAGACCACTGATTATTCCCAGAGGAAGGGGAGGGTGGGAAACACAGAAGTGGGGCCCATTCAGGCACTGTCCCTTGGAGCTGAGGAAGACATCCCTGACATCTCCACAGACAGCAGGGATCAGGCTCAGCCTTCCAACATTTCTGCTCAGATATGACTCCTTGGTCTCAGAGCATGTCCTGCAGATGAGGAGTACAACCCATCTTCAGGACCAGATCTAACAGACTCTGTAGACTCTTCCCACAGTCAGTGATGGGATCAGGTCACCCAAGGGACTTACCCATCCCAAAGCAAAGCAGGTGTGCCAGGAAATGGCAAGAATCATCTTTCTGGAGACACAAATCCTGCAGCTGACCAGTGGTGGTCCCTCTGAACTACCCAGGTAGGACAAGCTCACAGCAGGGCCTGCATTCCTGGTCATGTGTGCATGGCTTTCTTCATTAAGTGATCACAGGTGAACCCAGAGGCTCCAGCACCTCCATTCCATGGCTAAACCCCACCACCATTTCCATGGATAGGACAGATAAATAGTGGGGAGATGGCTTCATGGTCAGCAAATAAGCTGAGCCAAGCTGAGAACTTGGCTCCCATTAGCTGCATCTCCACCTCAAACCAAGTACAGGTCAGCTTTCTCTCAACCACACCAAAACCTGGGACACAGGACTTGCAGAAAATGTCTCTGCCACGTCCAACATCTGTGTGATGGTCCTGGACAGTGCAGACAGACTCTCTCTGGAGGTAAATATAACTCAAGATGTCTAGAGGATGAGAAGTGTGTGTATTTTTGTGTGAGTGTGGTCTAAGCCAGCTGACTAGTTTATCTTGAGTGTCAACAGAAGAAAAATAGGTGTCTGTAAGGCCTGCATTGCCTGATCTGTAAGAGATCATTTTTTGTAAGGGTTGAACTAAGGCTTGAGAGTGCCTGTTCTCTCAGCTGATGATGAATGGAGCAAAGATGAGTACCTCAATAGAAGACACCTTTTCTGGAGTCAGGGGAAATAAATTTTCCTCTACTTATGTCTTGTCTGATTTTGAACTTAGTTCCTCAGTTAAAGCTGAAGACAGAGGCCTTAACTGCACTTAAAGGCTCTGAAATGAGGTAGGTGAGTCCTTTACTGTCTCTGTATCCATGTGCCCATAGTTGCCTTTAGTTACTTCTCACCATGGAGGTTTCTCGACCCCCTGAGTACCCAGCACCAAATGCTTGACCCCAGTCTCTTGGAACATGACTATTTCAGACATTCCCATGCCAGCTGAGTTCCTGACAAGATTCTCATACCACAGCTGCAGGTAGGAGGCAAACACCCAGCCTAGCAGGCACTTAGGGAATTGCATTGCTGTTCTTTAATTGGCCTGTGTGAAGAGAGAGTACTATTCATCCCTGACAAGCCCATAAGGCTTCCCAGAGGTCAAATTCCCTGGAGCACACCAGAGGGAAAACAGAAAACAGTCTCCAGGGTGTGGCTAGCTGGAGCTTCATTGTGTTAATGAGGTGGGTGTGGGGATGTTCTTATGCTAATGATGCTGGCGACTCTCTGGTGCATGATCTCATAATATGAAGAGAATTTACACTTTGTGTGTGTGCACACAGAGCTTTCTTTGGTGGAATTACAGTGGTGGCAGTGAGAGGGAAGAAGATCAGGAGTGGAAGCTGTCAGATCCTACTGGATGGAGAGGAAACCAGGTCAGGCAGTTGCCATCAGCTTGAAGTGAGTCAGCAAGGGGAGAGCTGCTCATCCACACACCTTCACCTGAATCCAGAGTTCCCCACAATAAATCTACTTCTTTCCAATGCTCTCCATTAGCCAAGGGGACCATGGCTACCTTGGGAGGATGGTGCATGAAAAAATGTCTTTTGGATCATTTCCACTGGCAAATCTGGTGAGTGAAGCCTGCCCAAGACGTATATCACAGACTTCCAATGCCTTGCATGTTTAAGGAGAGCTGGTTTAAGGGAGATTTCTTTACCCTTTAAGTACATGAGATTTCTGGTATATATTGCTGTGGAGGAAGATAGGAGAGAAAGGGATTATTCAGGTGGTGATTTAGTCCATCTGTCTTCCACATCCACCTGAAAATATGTTTTCTCTAGAGAACTAATCAAGAATTTTCCCTTGTCTGCAGCAACAGTTCAGCAGAGCTACCTTTAATGGATTCAACTCGGAGGATTTTGCCTTCAGTCTCTGAGGCTGAATATCTCTGCCCAAATTGAGATGTCTAACACCCAGGTGCTTACTAGACTCCTGCCTTAGACCTCAGAGACAACCTGGCACTTCTAGAGAGCTTTTAGCCATGCTTTTAGGACAAAATGAGCCATGTTTCCCTCATGCTTTTTCTCTGTCTGTGAAGAAAGAAGGGGGGTAAGCTGAGGAGCTGAGATAGAAGTATTTTATTTCACCTTAGATATTCCAGCTTAGTCAGCAGAAATCCTTCCTCTGACTCTGAAATGGCAAAATTGCAAAGAGGTGGATCACACCTAGTTGCTATGCTGAGAAGCAAACTTCAGTGAGGGAAATGGAGGTATCTGCAAAAGCTTCCTGTTCTGAGGCTTAAAAGAAAGCAAATATAGGAGACCTTGAGTAGTGACTGGCATACCAACCTGCTGCCCTGGGTGCCTGCAGCTCAGTCTCAATGCTTTGTAATAAACTGACATAGAAGAGGTAGGAAAATCTCTTGCAGTGTCACATTATCATGACAGTATTTGTATTCCTCATTTGATGAAAGCACACCTCAGTATTGCCTGCCTTGGAAACTACAAGTTATGTTATTGCCTTCCTATTTGTAACAGGTTTTTCCATAGCTGGAGTGCCTCAGCCTGGTGTCCATAGTTTCCTATGTGGGATTTTCATGTCACAGAAGTGACTACATTCCCCGTGCTGTAAAGGAGATGCACAATCTGATAAATACTTCTCTAAGTGTTCATTTGTTGGGGTACACCTGATTTTCAGGATTAGATCTAGTTGTCCAAACGTGTTTCATCAGGGGAGGATTTCTATGAAAATTTTAACATAGGAAAAGTCCCATTTTCCCATGCTGTGCACCAACTGCATTTTTGGGGATGGTGATTTTTTTTTTTTCACTACTTGTAGCATGCAAACTTTCACAGAAACTTTTCTTTCTTTGCAGACAGACCTCAACACTTGGAAGGACATGGCAAATAGGACAAGTGTAAAAGAATTCATCCTTCTTGGCTTCCCAGGGACATGGCAATTCCGAGTCTCCTTTGTGGTGGTGTTTGCACTGATGTACACCCTGACAGTGATAGGTAATGCATCCATCATAGCCCTTGTGTGGAGAAGCAGCAACCTACACACCCCAATGTACTTTTTCCTCTGCAATCTCTCCTTCCTGGAGATCTGGTACACTACGGGTGTTGTTCCCAAAGCCATAGGAGTCATGCTGGGGACTAGCCAGACCATCTCCTTCAGCGTCTGCATCCTCCAGTTGTTCTTTCTTCTCTCTCTAGGCTCCACTGAGTGTTTTCTCCTGTCTGTCATGGCCTATGACCGCTACTTAGCCATATGCTGCCCCCTGAGGTACAGCTCCCTCATGAGCAGTGTCCTCTCTGTTCGGCTGGCACTCAGCTCCTGGCTGGGAGGATTTTTGGCCATTTCCCTGCTGGCCTTTCTGACATCCAGGCTGACTTTCTGTGGGCCAGATGTCATCAATCATTTCATATGTGATATAGATTCCTGCCTTGCCCTCTCCTGCAGTGATACATGGCCTGTGGAGCTGGCAACTTTCCTTGTCTCCATAATTGTTGTGGTGGCCTCCTGTGTGGTCACCTTGGTCTCCTACATGTACATCATCTCCTCCATCCTGCAGATCCAGTCAGGCCATGGCCGAAAAAAGGCCTTTTCCACCTGCTCTGCCCATCTCAGTGTTGTCACCATCTGGTATGGCTCCACCATGTTCCTGTATGTCAAGCCATCAGCCCAGAACTCCCTGGATGTGAACAAAATCGTGAATACCTTTAACACAATGGTAACTCCTTTGCTGAACCCCTTCATTTACACACTCAGAAACAAAGAGGTCAAGCTCGCTCTGGGACGGGCTTTCCAGAAAAAATGAAGTGACTTTTTTCACAGGGCATCAGTTGAACAAACAGATTCATCCCTGCCCTCCCATGACTTCTGCCCTGCAGAAGATCCCCTCTGAAGTGTAGGTTTGTGTGGACATCCCAGGCACTGAGAAGCCACCGCCAATGAGCTCATATCACCTTACAGCCATCTCTGGCTGGGCTGAGCCTCAGTTCTGCTCTCCCACCACCCTCTGTTCATTCCCAGGTAATTCAGAATGCCTTCCAGTCCTTTAAAGTGCCATGCTTGGAAAGGGTCACAAACCCTGTCCATAAATGGTTCTGTAACAAAGCTGGAGGAGTGGTACTCCCACAGGTTTCTACCCCAGTTTGCCATGTACTTAATTTTGTCAGGGTTTGTCTGAATCTCCTAAAGAAATCCCAGCAACCTTAGGAAACATTGCTTTAGGAAGTAGACGTGTTTCTCCATTTAGCCTGATGTTTTGTGATGTATCTATGCCACATTCTTGTAGCTATTTCATCAATTCATACTCTGATTCAAGATAAAATTTGGCAATGTC